CAATCCATCTTTTTGAGCTTGTTGCGAGCATCGCGCCTCGTTCATTTCAGCATTAGCCTCCGGTATTATGACTCTATTGGAAATTTCCCCACCTGACTACTTGGTACATGCGAGTAATAGAGGATTTGAATCAATTTCAAAGAGGGAACTCGTCGTGTGTAGAGTAAATCAGGCGANCTGAAAACCTAGGGGGCACTGTACAGCTGTTTAGACCTGGTTGGGACTCATCAACAGCGAGCGGGCAGCAGTCGTGCGTTCTACATGTGAGGTCCTGGGTCCAATCTACAATGTGGTCGATGGATTCGCCCTGCTAATGAAACCCCACCAAGTCGAAACAGTTGTCCAGTGTTTCCCAGTTTTTGACTTAACACCTCACTTGATCTGTACACGACGAACACCCTCATTGAAAAATCAAGCTGTTGTAGACCGGTGGGGTAAAACTAGTGGTAGCTCTCTAAATAGGCTCTAAGCAGCCGCAATCGCGCTCGAGATCTTGGTTGTTGTGCCCCCAATACCGGTTGAATATAGGCAATAAAGCAGAGAGAGAAAAATTCCATTGTGGCCTTTTAAACCAAATCTGATAAGCGAAACATGCTTCTTCTTGATAAATTCATCAACTAGCCAGTTGCATCCATATAGGTGGACCATCGGGTTTTAACGATGGTTTTGGAGTTATCGAAACTCCTGGGCTCAGTGTGGGAGAGAGAACAAGTTCCAACTGAATGGTGTGAATCGGTCATAATACCGGTTTACAAGAAAGTCGACAGGTCTTCCTGTAAAAACCAGAGGAATTAGCTTAATCAACATTGCTTCTAAACTTTTCGCTGGATCATACTCCGTCGATCGTCTACCGCACGAGAAGAGTGCACGCGTTTTGGTTTTGGACTTGGTCGAGGTTGTATCGACCACATCTTCACTCTCCACCGAATTCTGGAGCGCCGACATTCTTTTCCTGAATACACCATCTCTGTCTTCCTGGATTGAAAGTGGCTTTTGAAACCGTCGACCGCTCTAAACTCTGGTGCTGCCTTTCCCCAAACGGTGTATCCGAGACGTTTACCTCAGTATTATGATCCCTTTAAACTAATTACCGAAGTCGAGTCCGAGCTTACGGCATTTTTCCGCCCAAGTTCACCACGGAAAGCGGTGTTCGTCAGGGTTGCCATGTTTCCCTTTTTCTATTTAACTTTGTTATTGATTTGATTATGGAAACAGCCCAATCCTCGTGCGAGGATAGCGGTATCGGTTTACTCCCAGGTGGTACAGACTGTGACTTGGAGTACGCAGACGACATTGTGCTAATAAGTGAAGATCCAGGTAAGTTGCAAGCATTTCTGGATAACTTGAATGCCAGTGTAGCCATTTTCGGTATGCGTTTTGCACTTTCAAAGTGTAAAATGTTACTACAAAACTGGGTTGGTCCAGCACCCAGCCTCACTCTAACTGGGGAAGTAATGTAGCAGGTGGATAAGTTTTGTTATTTGGGCAGCTACATCCCACACGGTGGACGCATCACGGATGAAGTGTCAGCTCGCATACAGAAGGCTCGGTTGACATTTGCCAACATGAGACATCTGTGGCGGCGTCCCGACATCCGGCTGTCTGTGAAGGGTCGAGTGTATGCCGCGGCAGTTCGGCCAGTTCTGCTATACGGTGCAGAAACTTGGCCATTAGAAAACAGGATAAAGATAGACTGTTTGTGTTTGAACATCGCTGTCTATGCAGCATTGCACGAACCTGGTGGGGTAGCCGGATGAGCAATGCTGAGGTTACGCGCAGAGTGGAGCAAGTGGTCGAACTCCATAGATTACGTTGGTTGGGACATGTGTTCCACATGTCATCAGATAGGTTGCCACGGCGAGGGATGTTCGCCGAAGCAGATACCGAGTGGAAAAAAGCCAAGGGTCGTCAAGTTAAGACCTGGTACGAGTTTATGGAAACCGTGACCAGGAGGCTGGGTCACATAGGTCCCGTTAGGCACGCTGGCTGGGACCTCGGGATGATTGTGACCGATGGTTAGGGACACAGTGATATGGCTGCGTGTCGTAAACAGTGGCGTTCGTGCATCTTCTCAAATTCTCCGCAACACTGATCCACTGAACTTCTCCGTTTTCTACTCGAGTCTACTTTCAACATTCTTGTCTTTCTTCTACTTTTCATCCAAAAGACAGCATGCAAAACCGGCGTAGGAGAGTGCATGGTTATTGATTTTTTCAAACTGACTGAAATGAACTAGGTAAATGGCCAGGCGGTTAACTTTTGGAAAACAGTTTCTTTCACCTATCAGCTTTTATTCTTTGCATGAAATTTAAGAAAAGGGACGCGGCTATATCGTTTGAATGATTGTCGTGGAAGAAATGTAAATTGCCTTTTAGGGTATCAAGCTTGGATTAGCCCATTCGATTGTTCAAAGTCACCGGACACTCCTGGGTGTGGGTTTCACTCCTTGGGAGATCGTTAATTTCCCACTAGTTGTATGCATTGCTTCTTATTCCGAAACCAATCACCTTGTGTGGGTCAGTCTGATTTGTCTGTGGTTAAAGGTCAGTCAAAAGACCACCAACACCCTTTTCACTGCTGATCGGGAGATTTTATTCCATCAGTCCACGTTAGGTTGTATCAGACGTTTATGCTCAAGTGGTTGACATGATCGACATTCATTACTCTTTTAGAGATGATTACATTAAACTGATCATTTTTGTAGATAGGAAAGAGAAGAGGATCCCAAAACGACCCTTGGGAACACATCGAGGAAGTGCGTGTAAATAAAGCTGCGGAGAAACACTAGCAAGAGTTCTACAATTCCGTGTGCAACTAGTTTAGTGAAGAGGGCCTACGTGCAGCTCTTTGTCAACTGTCTTCGCGAAATCAATGAACATGGTACGAGATATCATATCAGCACAACAGACTCGGATTCAGCTTTAAAGGGCCGTCAGTGGGTTGGTGCTGAATTATCTTACAGGAAAGAAACCGTGCCAATTCATGATGTTTCTCGCTCTAACTTCGTTTGCCCGATAATAATGTTACCGTCCTTCCGTTAGGACATCATTTACATAGCTATTACCGCTTGGGTACGGTATTGGCTGATTGATTGGCACTGCTGATGAGACCCAATCAGATCAAAATAACTTCGGTAGGACTGTGAGCATCATCGGATGACGTATCCTCTGGACGGCTTCGAGTGAGCACCACATCCGACTGAATAAGCTCAGGCTTTTCACATTTGTCTCACGAAGTAGCTTATGAGTTAAAACGTATCTCGCGGTTCACAATTCACCCGCTTGATTTTTGGATCCTGGTAAAAAGAAATGAGTCCTCTGTCCGGATTTGTAGAGTACAAGTAGGACCCATTATCTCACAAACAATACTATTACACAGCATATGGGTGGATGTAGATGTAGTTAGACTATTCGCATCTTGGTACTCTTCACTGCAAGCGCAGGATCAGTTAATAAACAAAGCTTTGTCGTAGCTTCTCACCAATTTTACCAGCAATCAAACGACCATGGGACTGTATCTCTAGATGACTTTTTGAACTAACACTAGTGTTTGTGAGGCCAGTAAACGGAAATTTCTTTCCGATCTTGGATTCAGGTTTGTGTTATATTTGACGTGATTTCCATGCTTCGGAATTACGAGCTCTCGTTCTTCACATAGTTTTGTTTCATGTGAATTACCCGTTGATTTAGCTTTGGTTATGCTTTCGAGCTTCGTATGGCTCTCCGACTCAATCCATTCAGGTTTGATCGCCTTTTCTATAATGGGTGGCAAATTATCGTGACTTCTACATCTAACACTCATTTCACCTGAAGGGGCAATAGAAACGAACCCGCGTTCGTCCATCCTGTCAATTTCTGTGTAACATTAGTCCATTGTGATCCTACTTTCAACCCTTCCTGTCTTTCTCCTAATATTCATCCAAATGGGCAGCCAAAACCGGCGCACGAAAGCGCATGGATAACGGTTGTACAAGCTGAACTGAAAGTTCTTCAGCACATCAGTCGTACAGTACACAGCACCTGTGTTTGTCCTGCTTATGGTAGGGTCCTGAGGAAAGTTTACTGCGTATGAAGCAGGCTGTAAATCAACCAGTAACCATAGTCAGGGGTTAGTTTTCTATTCTTGTGTAACAAGAACTGCGGCTCTTTAACTCCTAACGGATCGACAGACATGCTGTTTTAAGCGGGGCACATTACATCTGCCTGTCAACATTCAAACAAAGAAATCCCACTTGCCCTCGATGAGTGACGTTATTTTGAGGTACCTGTGTGGTTTGTACTGCAGATCTCGTAACCGAACTGTTGACAGCACGCGTCAGTCATTGTATTCGACTAGGTCGATTGTCGAATTGATTTACACACTTGTATCTGAGTGCACTTGGGATAGCCGGGATTTCGTTAGCGCCAATAGCTCGGTTATATAAACCTGATGGTGCGAAAAAATATTTTCAACTTACGTCGTTCTGGTAGATAATCAAGTCACTTTCGTACATTTTTGAATTGTGAAAAGACGGCGAGCCTCAGTGAGACCCACACATAGATATCGCTCATAAGTATTCACGATGTATAGTTTACTAGCTCAGTGAGAACGTGACATTGATGTCTCTGATTTTTTTGGCACGTGACCACCGACCACGTGAAGCGATCATCCCACGCTTCACCTCTGGCCCTCCCGGATGAGCAAGGCAAGAAAACACTGGATGTAAGAATACACTTAAGAACTGCGGTCGGTTCGAGTTTCTTTTTTATGATTCGGTTGATACAGGAAAATCTTTTCAATGTGACCAGATAAAAGAAGGACAAGGGAAAGGAATATCAGTCCAAGAACAACAATTCTGCCAATTGAACACAGATAATCCAAGAAAAACGACAAGGACGAGAGATGAAAGCAAGTAATGTACAACAATTTGAAGAACTATACAAGAAATGTTTCGTAGAATCCAGTGCGTGTGTATCGCAACCGACGATGGAATGGGGAGAATAGATGCAATATATCATGACTTAGGAGGCGGTATTATTATTGTTATTGCTATTGCTATTATTGCTAGATAAAGAGGATGCAGCAGACGCAGCGGCAGCGACGCTGGCAGCAGATCCAATGGACTCGATCGGACGAATTTTCTTCGGTCGACCCATAGGAACACGAGGCTGAAAGAGTGAAAATTTTCAAAATGTATGAGTCATTGGAACGAAGATTTTTTCAAATAAGTGATGAAAGATAAGAGTACCAATCACTCACTATTAGGCAAACGGTATTAGAAGTGATGGAGGTGGATATCGTAGACAGCGAATTGTCATATTGACTGGCTGGGATCAGATTGCATCCGACCGACCGATGATCTCGTTGATCGGTTATCAAGTTGAATGGTTAAGCTATATGGAGCGCGCTGGCCGTAACAGATCGGGTGGGTAGAACATTTGCGCTCTGTCCATCTCTCTCTTCAAAGTTTGTTCGTAGTTAGAGGAGAATATGATGCGCAAAACAATGCCAACGTGTAACGGGTGCTTCTGAAGCTCAGTGACACAACGGTTTCGCTTGTGCTAGGAATTAAACCTTGTCTACGTTTATTTAGCTTTCAACAGTGTAAAGCTTTGATTACGGTCTGCCGCCAAGTGAATGTACGCGCTCGGTCGATACAGGTATATAGTGTTTTCCGGCATTTCACCTCAAATTCAACGTCTTCTGTTCAGGATAAATTTCCTTAAAGTGGAACAATAAAAATGATGCGTGATGATACGTGCGGATACACGCACGCACACAAACAGTTGGCGATGATAGACGATGGTTCACTACCAGTGACATTTCATCGATTAATCCATCCGGAACTGGGGCATTTGGTGCTGCGTCTGGCGAAACCCGTGAAATCACACATGCCGCTCTGGTGAGCGACCTGTGTTTATAGGCGCCAAAGTAAGGCAAGTTTCATCTATCCGACAAGGATCTCCAAGAGGCGAATGAACCAACCAACCAGCAACCAGTTCATTTGAAACAATGCGGGTGTCTTGCAGATCGCGCTCGGTTAGGCAAACACTAGAGTGCACCGTCGAATAAGGACTACTCTGGGCTGAGTGACCGGGTAGTACATAAGAAAAACGCACACAAATATAAAACATGTCTTGTCAAAGAATCTGCACTCCGAGCTTCCTATAGTCAGAGGAAAAACAATCTACATCACGTAAATATTCCTGCTTCCCAATTCCAGCTTTGACAAACACTCAACTCCCTCGCACATTTTCAACCTTATCGGAATCGTTGGACGACCGTATTAACATTTATACCTGGGGTGTAAACTGTGACCCCATTCTCTCACGACCCGTCTGGATAAGCCTCTGAATCTCGCCGAATCCTTCTCGACCGGTTGAAGCTCTTCTTTGCTGTTTCAACCTAGTCACATTCCACGGACATACTCTGATGCGTGTAGGATAACAGACATGTTTAGCTCATACGCTAGAGACCCAAGCCACCGATGTGCGTTGTGTCGAAGAAACTGGCATTCAGGAATTTAGATCTATGTTCCCATCAAATCACACAGCACCGTTTTACGCTTTTCTGCGAGCCCTGCGGCCGCGACTTCGGGCGCTTGCGTGGCTCTTACGAAGAGAGCTGAAACCGCACTCCTACACTGGATCCCAGTCGATAGTCGGTTGTGTTTAGTGAGATTTAGAGGCTCGTGTAAAGTCAGTGGCTGTAGCTCCGAAAAATCCGTTTGTACAACCATTAACCACGCGTGTTCGTGAGGCGGTTTTGGTTGCTGTCTTTTAGCTTCTCCGAAAGATGCAACTTATTTGTCGTCCAAGCGCGCCTATCTACGAACTGTAGTCCAGATACAGTCAAGCATAACTTCTACCAAAAACCACAAAACCTCTTGAAAAAAGTGAGTCGGGCTGAAATCATTATTTTAGTGGGAGATATGAAAGCTGGAGTGGGCTGATTGTCTTCGAATGAGGTGTATCTGGAAGTTCCTTCCGGAGTAGATTGCTATCGCTCGGAAAACGGCTGTTGGATCTATGTTCCGACCATCATCCATCTCACTCGAGTCACTGGTAGAAAAGCGAAACGATATATGAGGCTGACGGCTCACTCATTCATAACCAACAGCGACGACGTGCAGGCCGAGGTACTATAACCAAATTCAAATCTCTATTATGAGTAAATTACAAAGCTGATGCCTCTTGAATCCCACAGGATTTGAACATACTGGGTTTAGTTGGTAGTACAATTAAATAGCAACTTATGACGTTATCCCAAGGGTGCTGCGCAGTTAGACGTTTCAGTGCTTCATCGAGCCGTAACTTGAATGAATCGATCGTTGGAGCGCAAACAACTTGAGATGGAAGACAGTTCTAGTTATTACACACTCCAAGACTGAAGAAGTAACGCCCTCAGACGAGCCAAATCTTTTGGAGTAAATGTTTGCATGGATGTCCACTGGGGTGAACATTCCTGGATCATATTAGCAGAGTAGTACATGAGTGGCTAGGTTCAGGCAGTATTTGATATACGAGGATAATGTATCCTCGAATGAGGAAGATTTACGTGTGGACGAATTTTTTATCCGCATCAGGTTAGAACCACGGTTCGAGTTAATTAGTGACGTTCTACCAACTTGATGAACCACCAACAATGAATTATGACAAGGAACTTGATCAACAGCTCAACTAGCTCAAAAGAATGCAGACGAGGAAACCCCCATAATCACGACGACCGGCTGTTCAGTGATAGAGACAGGTAGCTTAAGCCCGGGACTTGGGGTGGCGAACCACATAAGGCCCCGATACGTTAGGCGTGGTACTGAACGGGACGGCAGCACAGCTGCCCATCACCAAACTTGGGTGATGGTGACCGGGCTCGAACCTCGGACCATTGGGTCCAAAGCACGCCTGTGACAGTGACTAAACCACTGCGCCGCCACCAACCGAAGACTGCGTAACATCTTGAAATTCTCATCTTGGGGGAAGGTTGTGTGGAATATTCAGAGCTGAGAAGAGAATAAAAACAGGATGAAACTACAGGCATGTGCGGGTGGTCGGATCGTCCTTTGTGTGATCACGTTCGAGTCCGTCTCAACGCGTCTCGTCCGAATGGCGAGACCAGGGAAGTAACTGGAAATGAAATCGTAGTGGCCATTCATTTTTTCATCATAGAAATCACCATACAGCGGAAAGAAACAGAACCAGCAATGACCAAAGATTACCGTTAGGATCGATTAAATGCAGGATGCACGTACCATTTCAGCCCACAGCGCCTGACGTTTCCGTTCTAGAGCAGTGTCAATGCGAATGGGAGAAGCGGTAGACTCCACCGGTGGATTCAAAGGTATGGACGGGCCAGTGGTCGGATCATTCTCTGCAATGTCTATCTGCCCGCTCCCGGTACTCGTGAGTCGTGGAGCTGATGCACATTTTATTGGACGGCCACGAGGTGCTTGAGCTCGACGTTTTTGTTGTAATCTAATGGACGATGGTGAGAGATAGAAACAGCAAGTTTGAAAGCAATCTGCATAAGTGCGCGTGTGAACACTGTATACATGGCAAGTTCACACATGATGCGACATTTGTTGGCATTCGTGAAACGATGGAATGAACGAATTTGTTCAATCTCGGCTTATATATCTACGAATAATAGTCAACTATCAATTAATTAACGCGCATGTCGCGTTCCATGTAGGCCTAAAATGGCAAAGTGAAACTGATGTGATATGCAGCAGTGATCTTTTTGCTCCAATCCAATGAGAATGAAGAGCAGGAGTTTGGTAAACATTTCTGGATGACCGGAGAAAACCCTGAATAACTCTGAAAGTAGAACATTCATGCATATTCTCTACTGGGCAACTCGAATTGCGTAAAGACTGGTTCCAATCGCGCTTCCTGTTATTTTTTCTCAAGTACAAACTTGAATGCGATGTTCAGTAAAACACACGAGCTTCGTATTCACGAGAATCGACTGCTTAGTTATGCAAAAGGACGACCCCCGCAAAAGAACTTGAGGTAATAAATTACATAATGTGACAGTAGGGTGTGTCACGAACTATGATTTTCGAGAACAGCTGGATGACATATTTAGAACAATGATGAATCCATGTATTTGGAATGATTTAAAAGGCACTCGCGCAAAATACGGCGGATGAGTTTAGCCAAAACATCTAGTGCGTACGTAATTACTCACCTGGTGACCAGTTCATCATCATCCAACAACAGCGAGACCATATCCGAGGATGTGAGTTGTTCCTGACCTCGAGCTGACGGGATCAAATTGCTCGGATGATGACCATCCTGACCGGATTGGATCACCATTTGTTGCATTGCTCGTTTCTCTTCAGCCCGTTGCATCATTCGACCTTCGACAGTATTTTTGCATACTAAGCGATACACAGTTACCTGTGTGAGAGAGAGAGAAAGATGACGACAGAATAACGGGGACGGGGGGGAGGGGGAACAAGTGACGTATAATGTAAAACATTATATGAGGGTTCATGAGAAACAGAAATCTACAAAACCCTTTGGATATATATATATATATCATAACAAGTAGTTTTTGAATGACCTGAAAAAATTCCCCTGGAAGCGCATCACCAATTTCTTGCCTGTCGTCGTGTCATTTATATACACCTTATTGTGAAGTATTCTGTAAAGACGCTTAAGTCACGTTTGTTCCGGTTAGTAACATCTAAACCACTCACAAAACATCGAACCATAGTAATAATTCTTAAACGGTCTGGTTCTGGAAGGGCTGTCTATCCAGTAATACCCGGTGTTGCACATAAGGTTATTGTGGCGAAACAATAAACTTCCGCTGTATAAGTACATGAATGAAGTGACAAAAGATTGTTTCGGGTCGAAATAAATGCGAAGAATTATTAAGATCTGTCGGGCAAATGGCGTGTGAAAATCCGGGAAATGCAACTTTCTGTGGCGAAAGCCGAATTACACTATCTCCAGGTTGATAAAGCGCCACAAATGAATCGAAACATTCGATGTTCACTGAGATAGCGGTAGGTCTTCTGTGATCAGCAAAAGACTGTGATGAACAATACTTGGACGCCTGCGGAGAAAACACTAAAAACATACTTGAATTTGTTTTTCTCTGGTTCAAAACACACTAAGATGAGTGTTCAAAAGCTACGATTTGAATGCAAGACGGTTCTGTGAAGGTTCCTTAGATGACTGATTGCCACCGAACGGTTTGTCTTGAGAAGGCGATGCATCGATGAGGAACAAAATGGCGTATTATTATTGTATGAAGTAGCGAATAAAAATGGGGTGAATATTGTTGGAGGCGATGATGGACCAAGGGTCCAACGTTGCCTCCGCAAATAAAGGTTGCTCTCTGTTGTAGCAGTGTCATTAGTTGCTCATCGAGCACAGTTAGGCACGTTAAATCAGTCATAACTCCGTCGATGAAAACCAACCTGACCATCCCACCAGAAGGAATAGTTCCCCGCACCGTAACAGAACCCAACCATTTTGCAGGTTTCACACACTCATTCCATTTCCGTATCTCATTAATTCGACCTCTAAACTCTCCTTCGTCCACCTATCTCTCGTAGCTGAAACTTTGCTCCATCGCTCCGAAGGATATCACCTTATTATGTTTCGGGCCAGTACTAACGGCGCATCGTCCAATTGAGGAGTGCGGTTTAATTGCTGTCGCTATTCAAAGTAGAGACACTGTAAACCAAAAGTATGAACAAATGCATAAATCTGATACACAGATGGGCTTGCTTTTAGGGTAGAAAAAGAATGCGAACTTGTATGATAAACACGCAGAGGACACTGAGCATATGCATCCAATCAAGAAATTTTGTCTGATAAGAAATGACAACGATAACGCCACAGTTTTCGGGTCGCTAACATTCTCTTCAATATTTTCAACCAATCAGTTATGGTTTTTGTATCCCAAACTTTGGAAGACGAGGGACAAATGATATTCTTCAACCTGGAACGGTGTGGCGTGGTAGACAACGCATACGCAGTACGTGTTCAAACCCGTAAGACCGACTTATTCGGATACAATGTGACAAATAATTTCCCACTGAAACACTCCAAAACCAATCGCTCCATCCGGTATGGGCCGAACTACGTACACACAGACGATCAAAATAGTACAGTAGACGGATGTTGTCAAATTCAAATTTTTATCATGGGATATAACTTACAAAGACTTCGCTTTTACAAATCCCATAGGGTGTTTACACATTGGTTCGGATGAAGAATCACAATATCACAGTTAGTCCATGAAAGTAAAGTAATGT